ATTGTAAATAATTTAAGTTAATTGTTGTTTCTATTTATTTGAGGTTGAGTTAATTGTAAAATTATGATGTACTAATTGTTGTTTCTATTTATTTGAGGTTGAGTTAATTGTAAAATTATGATGTACTAATTGTGTTAGAAATAGTGTATACAGATAATTCTGTTTTATATAATTTTTGGAATATATATTAATTGTTTACACCAACACTTTCATTTTTTATTTCACCCCTTTGAACTTTAGACGTGTGTTATGTTTCACTTTATCCATCCGTTCACTGCTATTGTGGCAGGACCAAGTGGGTGTGGGAAGTCAAATTTTGTAACAAATTTCATAAAATCAGTTACAGAAATATGTAATTGTGATTTTAATCAGATCACATGGTGCTTTGATGAAATGCAACCATTATATAATTTACCAAATGTTAACTATCATCAAGGAATTCCAAATCTTAATATGTTTGATGGTGAAAACCCACATCTTGTTATTATTGATGATCTAATGAGAGAGTCCGATGGAAGAATTGTGGATATATTTACAAAAGGTAGTCATCACAGGAATCTTAGTGTATTTTATCTAACACAAAATTTATTTCATCAGGGTAAAGGACAAAGAGACATATCTTTAAACTCAAGTTATATAATATATTTTAAAAACCCTCGAGATAAAACTCAAATAAGATATTTAGCAAGACAAGTATCACCAGATAACCCAAAATTCATTGAAAATGCCTACAGGGGTGCAACTCTAGAGGCGCATGGATATTTAATGGTAGATTTAAAACAGAATACCAATGATTTTTGTCGTATCAAGACAAATGTCTTTCCATTTAATGGTTTCTGTACAGTCTACGTCCCCACAAAAGAGTTTAAATACACCAAGAATCAAACAATTGAAATCATTGCTAAATGATGCATCGTCGACTCACAACGTATAAACATTTGCTAACCGCTTTGCATACGCTTAAACCAAAATATCAAAGAGCATTACTTAAAACGTGTGATGAAGAAGAAATTAACTGTATTTGTGAGTGTATTCATAACGTTTTACAAGGAAAAGTACCTCTTAAAGATCAGGATAAACAAAAATTGAATAAACATAAAAACATACTCCGTAAACTAGTACGTAAGTGTAAACATAAACTAAGAAAAAATATAATTATACAAAAAGGAGGGGCTTTCTTACCAACAATATTAGGTGCAATATTGAGTGGATTAGTGAGTGGACTAGCCAGTTAACATGGAAAATGCAAAGAAAATGATACTTATCGAACCTGGATTGATTGAAAAATTAAAACAAGAAAATAAGGTTAATAGTAATTTATCTCGATTAGATATTGAAATGCAAAATATTATGAATAGTAAGACGGAAGACCGAAAGAAATGGATATTATATTTACAAACACTGCAAAGATACCTTCATTTTACCGAAGAGGATCGTCAACCACTCAAATTACCGGTTTTAAAAATAAAGATAGAGATCTAAAAACTTCAGTTGATATTGAATCTTTGCTGGAGGAGAATCGATCCATTAAAAGTAAAGAAAATGATGAAAATCCACTTTACACACCAGCTCAAATACTCAGTTTAATACCAAAAACTTATCATAAAAAAGGGCAGTTATTATTAAACTTAGTTGAAACAAGTAAAAGTAAAATACATTGGGATAATGAAGGTACAGTCATAATTGATAGTGAAAAAATTCCTGGAAGTAATATTGTTGATTTAATAAATGATTCACTAAGACCCCTAAAAAGAAGTGATCCGGTAGGGTGGGTTAGATTTGCTGAAGCATTAAAAGATATTAAAGTACCACTTACTTATATTGGAAATCCAAGGAGATGTGAGTTTATTAACCAACTTCAAGAAAAAGATCTGAACAAACCCTCTGAGATTGAAGTTCAAGAGTTTTCTACACCGGTCAGTAGAGATAAAAAGTCTACAACTAAAATACGTAAAGGACTTGAGTGGGAAAAATGGACCACGTACTAGAAGAAATTAATAGGATTTATTATGATCCATCTAATCCCGCTGGTTTTGGTAGTATTAATAAATTATCAAAAGCCATGAAGGGTAAAATGAATAAAAAGCAAGTAAAGGAATGGTTAAAATCACAAGAAACATACACATTACATAAACCCATTCGAAAAAAATTCCCGCGTAATAGGTACATTCTATCAAATATTAATGAACTGTGGCAAGCTAATTTAAGTGATATGCGAACTTATTCTCAATATAATGATGGTTTCAAGTATATACTTTGTATTATTGATGTATTTAGTAAATATGCTTTTGCAAGACCAATGAAAAAGAAAAACTCAGAAACAACTAAAGAATGTTTTGAAAGTATATTTACTGAAAGTAATTTAACACCTACTCACATACAATCCGATAAAGGTACAGAATTTGTTTCAAAAGATGTACAAAAATACTTTAAATCCAAAAAGATTAATTACTATACCACTAACAATCCTGACATTAAGGCTAGTATTGTTGAACGATTTCAAAGAACACTAAAAATGAAAATGTGGCGTTATTTCACTCATAATAATACTTATAGATATATAGATGTTTTACAAGATTTAATATACTCTTATAATCACAGCTTTCACTCTAGTATTAAGATGTGCCCATGTGATGTAAATTCCAACAACATTATGACAGTTTGGACTAATCTTTATGATAGACGGTCAAAAAAACTTTCTTTAGAAAATCCTAAACCAAATTTCAATGTGGGTGATTATGTTCGAATAACTAAATATAAACATGTATTCCAAAAAGGATATGAATCAAATTGGAGTGATGAAATATTTATTATATCTTCAATAATTGATAGATCTCCATGGGTTGTTTATACAATAACAGATTTACAAAATGAACCAATAATTGGTACTTTTTATGAAAGAGAATTACAGAAAATCACTTACAACCCCACCTCACAACATAAAATAGATAAAATAATTGACACTCGTTATTCAGGTAACAGAAAAGAAGTATTAGTGAAGTGGAAAGGTTATCCAGATAAATTTAACAGTTGGATTTTAGCTTCTAGTTTAAAAGAAATATGAATAAAGAAAGTTTCTATTTAACTTTGCTCAGCAATAGTTCAATGGAATACTTTCCTGATAACAAGACCACAAATTTTTCAACGAAATTACCAAAAGCTATAAAATTAGAAGGTGAATGGTCGGTTGGAGTTGTCGAGTTTCAATATCCATGTACCATGTTTACTGTTCAAGACCATGAAAATGTTATATACATTACAAAATCTATGTTAATGCCTAATGAAGATAAACCATCCACAGTGTACTACAAAAAACATATTCCAGCTACCAACTATGATAACGTTGAGCATATTTTAAGAGTGTTAAATGGTATCGGAGAGAACTTGAAATTTCGCTATGATGAAATAACAAAATTTGTGTCTATTTCGGTATTGGATAAAAATATAACATCCGTAACATTATCACCCAAATTAAGTTTACAGCTAGGTTATGAGCCAAATAAAAATCTCCTAGAGAGAAATTTTGGAAAGTGTCCTGCTAATTTACACTTAGGGTTACCATCTCAACTATTTCTATATTGCGACATTATCGATCCTCAGATTGTGGGTGATGTTATGACTCCTTTATTAAGAGTCATTTCATTAGATCCTACAAAATACATTTATGGTGCAAATAAAATGCACGTTTTCTCTCAACCTCACTACTTACCTGTTATGCGAAGAGAGTTCGATACGTTGGAAATAGTTATAAGATCGAGTACAGGACAAAAAATACCATTCCAGTTTGGAACCGTGTGTATGAAACTACATTTCCGAAAATTATAATAATGAATTCTCTTCGTGATCATCATAAATGTCCATATGAAAATTATTATACACATCAAGCTGGATCAGGAGTTGGAGTAATTTATAAGGGTTCACCATATCAACGCGGTCATGGTATTGGGAGCTTCTTAGGGGGGTTATTCAGATCAGTTTTACCTTTACTTTCAAGTGGTGCTCGAGTGATTGGTAAGGAGGCATTAAGCGCTGGAGTAGGACTTTTATCGGATATGGTTCAAGCCCGTCCTATGGAAGCCTCAATAAAAGATCGTCTAAAGCAAGTTAGTACGAATTTAAAACGAAAGGCTGATGAGAAAATTGATCAATTTAACATGACTGGATCTGGGTATAAAACTAAAAGAAAACGATTGACATCGTTCATTCCACCATTAACTGCTAAAGTGAAAGCTGCGAAAAAACTTAGTCTAAAACCAAAAAATATCAAAGATATATTTTCAAACTAAATATGTCTTAAAAGCTTTTACAAAAATTTACTTCGCAAATATCCGCGTTATAAAATAAAATGATGTGTCTTACCTAGTATGAAGAAGCACCTCCCGCCCTCCCTCAATTGCGTGCACTAACCCCGTCACCACTAATCCCAGCACCGCTACTCCCAACACCACTACACTAGGCAAGACACACCACTGACGATAATACGACACGTGTTTCGCCTCTACACGAGGCATCCTCAGGTGATATAGACTCTACGGTGGCTAACCGCTAAGTGAGCGGCGAGCCAAAACAAGTGCCTTTTATACAAACCGATGACGCAACCGCTCTCTACCTAAGAAGCGAGCGACTGCGTCATGCGATAAAACATGCGACCAATCACCGCTGGACTTACGCAGCCGTTTGTAAAATTAAAAACAAACCGCCGCGCAACGCCCACATTATTAGAGAGCAGGCTTGAAGATATTTAAGAGAGGTGAGTTAGTAACATTTGTTTGTTCATTCAGCAATGCAACGGTATTATTATTACTTTTTAATATCTCTAACTGGGATTAGTGGTGACGGGGTTAGTGCACGCAATTGAGGGAGGGCGGGAGGTGCTTCTTCATACTAGGTAAGACACATCATTTTATTTTATAACGCGGATATTTGCGAAGTAAATTTTTGTAAAAGCTTTTATATAATGGATTTCCGCAAAGTAACGCCTGATTCTATTAATTATAAATATGTCTTTCCTTCATAATCATTCTTGCGAGTGCGTTAAGTCAGAATTGGATTTGTTTGCACTACTGTCTACACAAACTAGCATTGAAAATGGATTGTGGATTCATTATAAACCAATTTCATCTCTTGGTGATGATGGACCTATCGAGTTTCAAGTTCCTGGGACCGGCGATGACTACATAGATTTGTCTCATACATTACTCCACATAAAGGCAAAAGTATTAAATCAAGATTCAACTAACTTGGTATCTACTACAATAGTAGCACCTGTAAATAATTGGCTGCATTCACTTTTTAGTCAACTTGATGTTTATTTAAACCAAAAACTTGTATCACCACCTAATAATACCTATGCATATCGAGCATACATGGAAACCCTTTTAAACTATGCCCCTGCTGCTAAACAATCTCATCTTACTTGTAGTCTTTGGTATGAGGATACAGCAGGAAAAATGTATTCTACAGATGGTAAAAACATAGGATTTGTTAAAAGACAGGAATTGATAAGTGAAAGTAAGGAAATAGAAATGATTGGTCATCTTCACGGTGACATTTTTAACCAAGATAAATTTTTAATTAATGGTGTTGAAATGAGTGTTAAATTGGTTCGATCAAGAGAGAGTTTTAATTTAATTGTTGGGTCAAACGATGTAAAGTTTAAAGTTTGCATTACGGACGCAACTCTTATTGTTCGACGAGCACGAATTAATCCAAGTGTATTACTCGCACATCAAAAAGTTTTAGCTTCTACCACTGCTAAATATCCTATTACTCGAGCTGAAGTAAAAGTTTTAACAATTCCTTCGGGTGTTCAAGGAAAAACTCTTGATAATATATTTTTAGGACAGGTACCGAAAAGATGTATAATTGGATTTGTGAACAATTCTGCATTTAATGGTTCCCTTACTAAAAATCCATTTAACTTTGAAAACTATGGTATTAATTCTTTCAGCTTATATATTGATGGTCAACAAATACCTTCAAAAGCTTTGCAACCATTTTTTAATAATAGCATATTTACATCAGCATATCATACTCTATTCTCGGGAACTGGTATTCACTTTCTTAATGAAGGAAATGGTATCTCTTGTGAACAGTATGGCAAAGGTTACTGTCTATTAGCATTTGACTTAACTCCTGATTTATCAGCTAACTCATCAACTCATTGGAATCTCATAAAGCATGGTAGTGTAAGAATAGAAGTACGATTTGAATCCTCATCAATACAAACAATTAACTGTATAGTTTATGCTGAGTTTGATAATATTATTGAGATAGATAAAAACAGAAATGTTACTGTAGACTATAGTAGTTAAGGTTATAATATGTGTTGTGTGTTAGATTTTATGTGTTATGTGTAATGCATTTTGTGTGTATGTAACTATGTGAAACGTTATAAAATTAAATAAAACAAATTGTATGCAACATATTTTTTTTTATTTCTTTATAAATCTTCTATTTAATCTAATACAAAACACTGTTCGAGTTGAAATTTTACATAAGCACACTGACTAAACCACTGAACATGCTGCTGCCAAGGATCATCATCATCTTCCCAATCTTTTAAACCACCACCACAATGGAAACACTTGGTCCCGTCTGCATGGCCAGTATAAAAGAAACCAGCTTCTGCAAGATCTTCAGGTTTCTGTCGCATAACGAGAGGCCAGTTTTCGAAACTAAGCAAACGGCTAGATTTTGAACTGAAGAATGGATATTCAGCTCTTGAGTACTGCATACTCTTCTCGTTTTCTTCTCCACTCAGTGTTGTAGTTTTGTTATTCAATGATGTGTTTTGTACACGTATGCCACACTCATCTCTTCCTTCCGCTCTTGTCTTCCTGTAATTGAAGTAAACAGAATCACATTCACTAATGATCAGCTAATGACTGTCATTGTTAAAAAAGTATTTTTTAACTTTTTCACTTTCTGCTATTGTCTTTGTTATATTGTATACGAGGGCGTTTGTGTTGTCGTAGATGCTATCCTTATTAGTCTTTACGTAATATTTAATTCTCGTGGAAGCATGTTTCCAATGATCAGTAGTTGGAATCTTGGATAGCTTCTTCATATCGTACATTTCAATTTTGATGAGATGCGTCGCTTGGTCTCCGTCGTCAGAATTAGTAGAAATGTATGATACACCATCTCTAGCGGCTCGTGCTACGGTTGATGATAACAGCTTCCTCTTTTTTATTTTTGATTCAGCTTCAAAAAAATGATCAATCGATTGCGATTTTCTTTTTCCACCATCGCATGTGTTATTATTAATGACGAGGTTATCACTCTCTTCTTGAGGGGAGAGTGGCGAGTAGTAATACTGTTTATAGGTATCTTCATCGAAGCTCAATGATTTCTGCAACAACACAGTTATCATTTTAATATCAATTTGTTAACACTTAATCATAAAAGTTAAAAAAGTTAAAGTTACAGCCTATTAAAGTCCACTGCTGAACATAGGCCTCCTCTCATTTCTGAGAGGGTTTTAGAGCAAGGAAATGTCCGCCGCGCTCCCTCAATGTGTGTTGGCGAACTTCACATGCCTTCGAAATTTTCTCAGACATGCAGGTTTCCTCACGATGTTTTCCTTCACCACCAAGCACGTGGTAATAAGCACTTAAAATTGCGATTAACAATTTAATTGATGCTGGCGGGGATCGAACCCGGGTCGCGTACTGTGAAATTTACAGCTAGCGCTAACCATCTGAGTTACCACGGCTTAATCATATACATACACAATATTTAAATAAAATAATACACACACATGAAAATAACAGAAAAAAAGTAATTTAGTCAATAGAATAAACACTTACATCCATAGCCTTTGGTGTATTGAAGTAACACAAATGTACTATTGATAGATCCACTGTAGTCAAACGACCGTACACTAACTCGATGACTGCGTCTGTTGGTCTTATATACCACCAGTACGTAAAAATTCTAATCTAAAGTATTTCCGTAATGAGTTGATAATTACTTTATGCGTCAACCAGTTTATCTCACATTTCCGTTGTCTATCTCAACATTTCTTCGTATTGTGTTTTGTTTGGTGATCAATGACTCAAGTACGATTTGTATAACACAAAAATGCAATTTAATATTTAGAAATCACTATAATTGACCATTCCTATGTTATTCATTGAGTAGATTGGTACTGTAATAATGTACTAATAGCAGTAATATCATGGATACACTAGATGTACAACAACATCTGAAAAAGATTCACCCCAGTCTAGAAAATAATGTTTATGCAGCTAATAGACTGCCTATGTATACCCACGTACCAACGTATATAATATGCAATTTGGATACAGATGATAAACCAGGGTCACATTGGGTAGCTTTATATATCGATACGAATGACGTCGGTCAATATTTTGATTCATATGGACGATCACCTGTACGATATCATCTAGAGTTTTTAAAAAGAAATTGTAAAAGATGGAACTGGAATGTTGATAGGATTCAGAATGAGTGGACTTCAGTTTGTGGCGAATATTGCTTAATGTATTTGCTATATAAGTTTCAAGGATGTTCAATACATAGTTTTACGAGTATATTTACAAGGAACACATTGTACAACGATATTTTAGTGGATGAGATGTTTCGCTCCTATTTTATAGATAATAATTAATAAGATTTTGTATTTTATAAATAAAAATTGTAACAAAATTATGTAATGTGTTTTATTGATGATTCAGATTAGCGTTGTATAATTAGGAACAAAGAAATATAATACAATAGCACTGATATAGTCGACGCACACGCTGCAATGAAGGTGATTAATGAACAATGGAACAATAGAAATAGGAACAATGGGACGCTAATGACGGTGGAGGCCCTTACCGGATATCAATTAGATATTAGCTAATTGATCTACACATCTCCGGAACCGTGCATTCTACACAAAAATGGACCGCATTCGTGATCAGTGATCAGAGCATGCCAAAACCTTTTTTTTTTTTTTTTTTTTTAGGATCGGGTGTCGACGAACGTCGTTGAACCACGTCTGACTCAGGTGGTCTAGAAGTGTTCTGATGGGGAAGTCATTAACCTTCCTAGCATCTATTGCTATGGCCGCTTGAATGATACCCATACATTCCGCCTCCAGAACCTACACCTTCATTTGTTTTAGAACCATCGGTGAAAACTCTAAGCTCTTTTGGGCTTAATCCTTCCGGCTGGCTGTTTTCATTTAACTGTATCTTGTATTTCTTATCGAAAACAAATTGTTTAGGAAAAGAGAAGGCCTGCCCTTTTTATCTTCTATTATTGTCGATGTATTTTTGACTTTGATCACAGAGACTTTGTGGAGAAAGCTCCTTTTATTTTTCCAGTAAATCAAGACTAAGGAATTCGAGGGTAGGATTTCTTTCTGTTGCTTTTCTGTTTAAAAAAAATCACTACAATCTATACAAACAATGGTACTTTTTGTGATACAAATCAATGTGTCACAAAAAATACCATTGTTTTGATCACCGTCTAGCTCCCTTTTTTATTGTGTAGTAAAACAGGAAATATATAAGTGTTAAAATTTATAAATAAATAGATAATATTATCATATTTCAGGACAGCCTGCATAACAGTGAATGGATCTTTAATCTGTTGTGGAATTATGTTTTCTCAAAATATTAAGTGAGAACTTTTGTGTCTTGGAGAAAAAAATGTATATTTTATTTAAAAAAATATTTCTCAAGTTTTTGTCCACTTATATTTTTAATTTTTGTACTTATGTAAATCTCACGAAATCTCACGATTCGGGACAAATTGTATACATTGATATTAATAACAACACAAATTCTTCATTGTTTTGATAATGTCGCCATTTTCGGGCTGGTGTTGCGGTACATCGTTGACGCCATTTCGGAACGAACTGAGTTGTTGCATATGATGCTAATCCGAAGACGATCATGCGTGCAAGTCGATCGCAGTTTGCATGACAAAAAATTAAATTAATTGTCAATCAGTCGCCAGCACGTAGTTTGTATTCATTTGCATCAATTAATACAATTAAACAATCATGTATGACGGCACTAAGGCATGTTATGTCACGTAACCGCATTACCGTCTAGACCTGAGACCCACAAATAGACAGTCAGGTACGTAATGTCCTATGTTATATAGAAGTGGTTTTGTACATCTTTGTCTGTCATCTATAATAAATCTTTATATATAAAAATTACGTGTCACATTGTTTGTCCGCGATGAACTCCTAAACTACTGAACTGATTTCAATGAAATTTTGCACACTGTGTGCAGTTTGGTCCAACTTGAGAGATAGGATAGTTTTTATCCCGATAAGTGACCCTCAATTTCTTTATTGCTAATTTCAGGAGTTTTTTTAGGAAAGTAAATGGTCGTCGGAAAGGGCAGAACAACGTCTGCCTGGTAAGCTAGTGTTGTATATATTTTTAATTTATTTAATTTAAGTTTTCTTTAAATAAAACTAGTTTTTACGAATTTTGTCGCGTATATTAACTTATTTCATATTCCCGACGCTTCGAGCACTTTACAGCACCCATGGTCACTGGTGAGGCGTGGGGGGTGGGGGTTGGGGGGGTGGTGGGTGGGGTGGGTAGGTGTTCGACGTCCCAATTAATTTTTGTACCGATCTACGCAGTAAGAACTTCTAGTATCTTACAACTTATAACATACAACTGCAAGACTTCAGTCTTGCAATTATATGCTTGGGTTGGGATTTAATTTTATGAATTATAGGAGAGTGTTCAGCTATCTTCTCTATTTAGAATATTTTTTTGATTTCCATAGCGTCTCGAATCATCCTTGGAAGGAATCGGTGTTCTTTAGCGGGGATTTGTGGTCTATCAAATGTGATGTAGTGGCTAGGGCGATCCTGCACGTGTTCACAGAAGTAATTTTTATGTCACTAAACCACAACTAATTCAAACAATGCCTTTATCTAAAAATAGTCTACATTATAGTCACAGGTGCATGAAGTAGGATAAACCTGTATCTTAGGTTATTGTGCTAATAGATACACTAACAAATGTTTTCTGTTTTTATATAAAACGAATGACATACCAACTAATTAGAGTTATTCTAGTATATATAGATTCATGCCACAGATTACTTAATAGTTTACTATTCATGCGCTAACAGAGCTTTCAAATGTTACTTGATTGTTAAGCAATCGTCACATTTCATATTTATAAATATATATCTAAACGCGTTACATTTAATATTTACTTTGAAGAGAGTACAAGTTAAAAATAATTTACTTTAATATTAATTAATGTTAAAAGTTTGTTTTAACTGGTATAAATAATTATGTTTCGTAACAGATAATGCTAAAGTT